GGCAATTAATTACATATATATAGTTATATATATAGTCACTCAGCATGATTTTGAACCAGTTAGTTGAGAACAGACAATTAATTGCATATATATAGTTATATATATAGTCACTCAGCATGATTTTGAACCAGTTAGTTGAGAACAGACAATTAATTGCATATATATAGTTATATATATAGTCACTCAGCATGATTTTGAACCAGTTAGTTGAGAATAGGCAATTAGTTACCTATATAAAATTATATATAGTCAGTTAGCCTGATTTTCATCCATTTAATTGAAAATAGGCAAATAATCACCTATATAATGTTATATATAGTCAGACTGCGGTTGATCCAGTTAGTTGAGAATAGCCAAAGAATTACCTATATAAAGTTATATATGAGTCAGTTAGCCTGATTTTAATCCAGTTAATTGAGAATAGGGAAGTAATTACCTATACAAAGTTATATATAGTCAGACTGCGGTTGATCCAGTTAGTTGAGAATAGCCAAAGAATTACCTATATAAAGTTATAGATATATTCAGATTTTGATCCAGTTAATTGAGAATATGGAAGTAATTACCTATACAAAGTTATATAAAGTTATACAGACTACTTATGATCAAATTACTCAAAACGTGTAATGTTATCAACAAATCCTAATTTTTGCTCTAGTTATAGTATAGGAAACATCAATTCCACTTGAAACGCTTATTCTAATCGCGCCTTATTCGTTTTAATGTCCGAAATATAAAATAATTAGACGGCATTCGGTAAAAATGTTATTAGACAATCTCTCATCTCGGTAAGAAACATTATCTGTCAACTGTTTATATTATAACTGGAGCCTATGAATAATGACGATACACAAACAACATTTCAATTTTTCGATTGTGTCACACTTAAGAAAAACTTAGTGCCCCTGTTGCTTCTCTTTCCCAAACTATCGAGCAAATAAAAACAATTACTTACTATTAGTACTTACTTTGCAGAAAAATACAAAAAGAGGTACTGGATATCTTTAGGCTTGTGGGGGATGAGTTTTGGAAAATAACAATCTAAACTTTATTGAAGTTGATACTTGGAACGAGATGAAAAGGGATAATGTCGTTAATTAGTTCTATTAAAAATGACAACTTACAACCGAGGCAATCTTAAAATTGATTATGGTGTTTCTGCCTTCACGTAAAAATAAAAAAATAACCAAAACAGGTTGAAGGGCAGATACAAATTAAACACTGTTTTCTACAAACAGGAGACGCAATTTTCTATGGGTGCATAGTATCGAAAGTTATAACGAAATTGTATTAATTTTTGAGGTTTAGAAAATCTGATGACTAGATTTACAGGGCCTTTTAATTGTGATGTAGAAATTTCTTGATCTCTGAGCAAAGGGAAATTTTAATCACACTTTTTTTAACGCACATCCAGAGCAGGATGTTAACCTCTGCCAGATCGTTATGATCGGTAACCGAACAATTAGACACCTAAAAATTAGGAAGTAGGATATTTAGACACCTAATAATTTTAGAAGGGTGTTAAAACTTGGCAACGTACTTAAAGGAAGAACTTGCTGATTCACAACATAGTTGCACGGTTACCATGGAGTAAATTAAACTGGTAATATAATATACCTAGACCTATATAGGTAAAATAATTGGGTAGATTTAAAATTTTAATAAAATAGGCCTAGATATATACAGTTCGTATAATGGAGTTAATTAGACTGGTAATATAATATACCTAGACCTATATAGGTAAAATAATTGGGTAGATTTAAAATTTTAATAAAATAGGCCTAGATATATACAGTTCGTATAATGGAGTTAATTAGACTGGTAATATAATATACCTAGACCTATATAGGTAAAATAATTGGGT